AGTCACTAAATTGTCCAGTCTGGGTACCAATGTGTGATCCTCCTGCCTCAGCCTCCCAGAGTAATGAGATTACAGTTAAAAGCCAACATATTTGGCTTCTAACTGGTTTTGACCAAGATATAAAAACAATGGAAGGATATGCTTTAGGGGGGAAAAGGTGGTAGAATAACTTGACATGCACAGGCAAAAAAAAGCTAAATAAACTTTTACCTAATCCTCACACCATTTAAAAAAATTACTCAAAACACTTGGGTTCCCTCCCCGGGATATCTCATGATATATATGTAAATATTCCAAAACCTGCAAAACCTTAAACCTGAGACACTTTTGGTTCTGAGCATTCCTGATAAGGGATACCAGACTGGTGACACATACAACTTCAACAAGCTAGGGAAAAATGCTGGGTAAAGGAGCCAATCCAGAAGAGGTCATATGTTGTTTAATTCCATTTCTATTGCATTCTTGAAATGACAAATTATAGAAATGAGAAACAGGAATGTTTGTCAGAGGTTAGAAGGGTATACGGGTAGCCAGATACGTGATCCTTGCAGGGATGGAAATGTTCTCTATCCTAATTGCTTCTATGTCAGTGTACCATCATACTGCACAGTTGTAAGATGTTACTATGGGAGTTGGGAGTAAAGCATACAAGGGAATTCGCTATATTATTTTTTACAATCATATGTTAGTCACAATTATCTCAAAAAAAACACAAAGATTTTATATGAAGTCCACAAAAAGATTTAATTAAACTCAGACTTACCCAAAGCCCCACCCATCTATGGCACTGGTGAACAACACATTCCCCTGCTCTGGAGAGAAGTAGAGGTGAGAGTCATCTGTGTCCTCCAAGCCAGTGCTCCAGTCATACACCTGCTCTCCTGGTTCAGAATTCGGATTTACCTGGGACTCACTTTCTCTCTCTGCTCTTTCTTCTAGGACTTTAGAAGTAAAAAGCGTTCCCGTCAGTGCATTAATCTAGGAGAGGAGAAATGGCAGTGTCATTCAGATGCTTAGCACACTCACGGCAGGAGACACTTATACCCAACCCTCCCTAGAATCATCATCATCACTTGGGCTCATCGGAAGAGACATTCATAAGCAATTAGTAATTAACTCAGTGTATTCATCCACTCAAAACTAAATTAGGTTTTTGTAGGGTCATTTTTGTAGTTATTATTACTGCTGTGAATGCTAATGTGTCACCTTCATTTTTCAGTGCTGGGGAAACAGTACTGCTAGGAACTCATGGTTTCCAAATTTGAAGATCCTAGTTTGTGACCTTCATGAACTCCCTTACCCACTTCTCACACTGACCATGTCAAATTTTCACTATTCTCTCTGGTCGTCTGCCCAACCTCTAATCCCCAACCATTTTCACTCTCAACAAATAACCTTATTTCTTACCAAAACAGAAAATGGGACCTATTACCCAGAATTCTGAAAGTTCCCTATGTTCCAACCTGGAAGCCTATTCAAACCCACTAGTGCTGCTGCCTCTTTTCCTGTCCAGAAACACAGGTCACTTCTACAGGTTACCTCTGCAGAACATGTATTCCTACACCTCTGCCTATGTCTGTAGGGAACTGGTCCTACTAAACTTTATTTCATGGCTCTATCTTTATTATTTCTTCCATTTAGCAAATTAACATTCTCAAGCTGATCTTGTCAATGGCTCTCCCATCTTGAATAAACTGCAAACCCTTACACATGCCATACAAGGCTCACCAAAATCTGCCTTCCCTTCCTTTCTCCTACATCTTATCACTGCTTAGCATGATCTCACTCTTCAGCTACACCAATTTCCTTGGAAGAAACACTACACCATGCTTTCACTTGCCCTTACAACTTTGCACATCTTACTCCAGCTCTTCCAAATGTCCTTCGCACTTTCCACCTAGAAAAATGCCACCTTCCAGCCACATGTTTTGCCTCTTTCCTCTTGACCTTGTCCGGGGTAGGAGTAGATGCCCTCTTTTGTGCTCTTGTATCACACCCAGAGCTGATCTCTCAAACAGTGTTCAGATCTCTCTTTGTTTATTTCCTCTACTACACCCATATTACATTGTGAGCTCTTTGAAAAGAGACTTTGAACTGCCCATCTTGATATTTGTAATACCTAGCATACAGTGTGCATTTGATGTTTTACTTATACAACATATATACTGGCGGAGCCAAGGAGATAAGCTTTGGTCTAAGCATCTGCCTCACAAGCACAAGGACCCAGGTTCAATCTCTGATACCACAGAACATGAGGGCCCCCATGGCGAGCTGGCCACCAAAACCGGACATGGTGGCACATGCCTGTACTCCCAGCTCTGGAGTGACTAAGACAGGAGGATCACTACAAATTTGAGCTGTGTAGTGAAACCCTGTAACAAATTAATTAACTTAAAAAACAAAACATATATACTGCTGAATAAATACTTGGGTTAACAATTCATCTAGACAGGTAGTGCCAAATCACAAAGTTTTAAACAGGAAAGCCAACTGTCCAAGCTTTTGGTGAAGGATGCGTCCAGGAGAAGAGGGCTCCCAAGAGCATGCCAGCTTTGCTGTCTCAGCCACGTGTGAGGAGGATTCAAGCAGGCATTCTAAGTACTGAACTCAATTCTGTGAGCAATGCTTCACACTTAAACTTTGTTGAAGCCTACTTTTTAAAACACTACAGAACACTGTACCTGTTCCAAAATATTCTTGAGGTGAGAATAGGCCTCCTGTGGGGTGAATTTTAGTTCCACGATCAAACGATCTATCTTATTAATCACTAAAACAGGACGTATGTTTTCGAGCCATGCTTGTCGCAGAACAGCCTGTGTCTAATAAAAACAATGAGAAATACAAAAGTCAGGATTTGTGGTAATTTACAAATTATGAAATCTGGATTAACAACCAATACATGCCTGTATTCTTTATCACAGCTCAAAATACACCAGTCAGACATGAGGCCCCTGTAAGTATACATACAACATAGCAGCAGTGAACTATGGGCAAAAATCATCTTTTTAATTGTGGAGCAGACAGCTCATTTAAGAACACTAAAAAGATCATACAGAAACAGCAAAGTGTCTCCACATGTGTGTCTATAGACAGACACATGCACACACTACAGATTTAAGGTAATCATAAAATGAACACTCCCACAATGGCACAAAGGTCAAAAAATAAGACATTCCCCAGACACCACATGCGGGCCTCCCTGACTGGAACATGGTCTCTGATGGAAACTGTTGTTCCAGTGTTCTCAAGTCAGGTGTACAATCTTTCTTGCCCTGCCATGGCACCCCAGATGCCACGACAGAGGCCAGGCTTCTCCAATGGGGATACCTAAGACCTCAGCAGAAATCAAGGCAGAGGCCACAAAAAAATCACAGCACATTTTTTAATACATTTCCTTCATCTGTGTAACTTA